TTGGAAATATTTCAGACAGTATTGTTGGCAATTAAATCTATAAATATCCAAAAATTTCAAGGTAACAAACGCATTGTCCTCAAAAATGCATGTTTTTATAGGGAAATTTGGTACCTCTTTTTTAGATTGGTGGGAAATTTTGTGGAAAACCGATAAGAATAATGTGGAAAGCCGGCCGGCGGGCGCGTGGAAATGCGGAAGCTTGGAAAATTCTGCACCCCTGCAAAGCTTCGACTCGAATCCAAATATATCTCGTTGAAAGAATTTTCATGCCGCAAATTCTTGGTCAATCGGATAAAACTCAGACCAAAAGCATGAAAAGTCTGAGGAATATCAAGAAAATCCAAAATGTGTGGCAAGCAGTGGCCTCGGTCCCGTGTGACGAGGAAATACTTGAATAAGTCAGGATATTTTTCCGGGTGTTTTCCAAGCACCCTTGAGGCAGCCAGCTCGGCCTCGACGAGACAAACCAACAACATTCTAGAGGAAAGTTGAAACAGCGGAGTAGTCCCAGTTGCCACAGCGTTGCGGTGATGTCTTGTCGTTTACCGGACAAAGGAACGTAACTCCATTCCAAGGTTGCAAAATTGCAAATAATTAAATAATTAAATTTTAAATTAATCAAATAATTAAATTCTCTACAAGAATTTACCCGAAAAATATTCGCCACAAATTTGTCTGATTTTTGTACGAAATCAGAAGGAAAATCAGTGTATTTTTCAGTTAGAAATTACCAAGATTTTCCTAGTTAAATAGTAATTTATTCAAGGCAGTGCTCCCATTTCCGGGAACTAGTTCCGGATTCCGGAACTTTTGAACTTTTCCTGAATTTTTCCCGGAATATTTAAAATTTCCCAGATGTAACGGATCTTTTGCATTTTTTGTAACTTTTAACATTCCCCAGATATGACGGATCTTTTGCATTTTCCGTAACTTTCTCAGACCTTTTGAAACAGCCTAAATGGAATCCCGGAACTTTCGACGGACGTGGAATGGGAACTCTGACGCGAGGAAATTTGACAACGTCGAAACGTAGTTACGTTCTTTCGCGGGGGAAACGAGGGTTTGTGTTACGGGGCCACATTGCGGCGTACCGGAGGAGCCGGGGTCTGGTATAGCTCCTGACGGTTGCGGTTGTAATTAACTCATTATCATTCCGATCGTTAGCGAGGATGGCGCTCCGAACCGACCGACGAACGAACGAACGGTGTAAACGACTTGTCAACTGCAACTGCAAGCGCCACGACGACACCGACACGACCGCCGAGCCTCAAGGCAATAAAAATTATTGGTCGCTCGTGCCAATGTCTCGCCGACTAGCGCTAGTTCCGCGGTGCATGCGGCCACCCGCGCCTATGCTCGGTGAGAAAAAGTAATACTGAAAAAAAGAAACTCCGGCCGTGGAAGCTGTACTTACGGGGCAAACAGAGTTGCCACAGTCAGGGAATATTGGGAAAATGACGAAAATGTCTGGGGAAAATCATCAAGTCACAGTTATTTGCTTCCTCGAGTGGGTTCTACGTTTCGACCAACACATTTTGTCTGAAAACTATTTTTTAACAATCTGGCATTTGTTCAATTGTCAGGGAATCTCGCCAAAATGTGTAGGGAAAATCAGGAAACAGGGAATTTTAAATAGTCAGGGAAAATGACGAAAATGTCTGGGAAAAATCATCAAGTCACAGTTATTTGCTTTTTTGAGTGGGTTCTACGTTTCGACCAACACACTTTGCCTGAAAAATATTTTTTAACAATCTGGCATTTGTTCAATTGTCAGGGCATCTCACCAAAATGTGTCGGGGAAATCAGGAAAATGTCAGGGAATTTTAAATAGTCAGGGAAAACCTGGAAATGCCAGGGAAAATGTCAAAAATGTCATGGAAAAATTATCAAGTCACGGTTATTTGCTTTCTCGAGTGGGTTCTACGTTTCTAACGACAAATTGTTCCTGAAAACTATTTTTAAACAATCTGGCATTTGTTTAATTGTCAGGGAATTTCACCAAAATGTGTCAGGGAAATCAAGTAAATGTCAGAGAAGTTAATTTTCCAAATTATGTGGCAACCCTGGCATGCTTTTTTGTTTTTTTGAAAGTAAATAAAAAAATCCAAACATCGCGGGGGTTATATGGAAGCCTCTTTCGATTGGCTATCGTCCGTGACGTCCCATCTTGCGGAGTTATTTATTGATTAAGGTCGTTCGATAAGTTATCGCCGAAGGTTCAACCTGTTCCCGTTAACCTTGTTGGCATCTCGATGGTATCAGTCCCCGAGTACGATGATCTTATGGAACTTGGCCATTTCACGATTCTGCACGAAGGTTAAGAACATGAAATCACTTATGTAATTACCTTGTCAATACAATGATAGCGCCTCTTAATACATGAGGAAACTGGGGGTCTACCTCAGTAAACACCGAATAAACCGGGAAACAGGCAAATCGATGTCACCAGAAAGTAACAGGAAAATCCGTCATGCGTCAAGAAATTCCGAGAGGGTTAAACATTTTTCAAACAAGTGCGGTTTAGAACGTGAAAAAGTGAAACACCTCATGCGACTCGTAACGAAGTGTGGTTCGTAAAATCGAACGCATGTCGATGTCGATTTACTCGCGCCGAAAATTAGGTAATTTCATTTGAAAGATCCAAAAAATTTTTTTAGGAAAATCGATGGTACACACCGATAGCCAACACCGGCTGTTACCGGCGCATAGTGGGCCGAGTCAGTAGGAGAGGTCGGACAAAATTTGGAAACTTCAAAAGCTTATAACTCCGTTTATACAAAACTTCAAAGTTCTAAAAGTGGTTTCATGGGTTTTTTCGTGAAATTTTCTTCTAGAAGCACGCCTTAAAATTTACAATGTGACGAAATAGACGTAAAAGTTTGCCGTTTTAGTCAAAAATTTCATGTCAGACATCTCTGATTGACTCGATCCACTGTGCGGCGCGGCGGTTTGGAAAACCGGGTCGAAAGTCAGGAAGTTTGAGCCGATCCGGATAAGTCAGGGAATTTAAAGGAAAACCCGGGGATTTACCCCAATTTGAAAATTTTCAAAAATTTGAGTTTCTCCGTCATATTGCGACAAAAATGACAGAAAACGAAACATTCCGGACCTACTGCCGACTTCCGCACTTCTTCAGTACTTCCGGACCGCCCTTAAAAAATCAGTACTACTTCCGGACTTTCCGAACTTGTAGACATTCTGGCGCAACCTTGCAACATCCCTCCTCGAAGAATGTCATTAATTTGAGTTTCGCCCTCAAATACGATAAAAATGACAAAAAACGAAAAATTCCGGTTCTACTACGGAATTTCTGCACTTTTTCAGTACTTCCGGACCGCCTGTAAAAAATCAGCACTATTTCCGGAAATTTCGAATTTGTTGACACACTGGCGCAACCTTGCAACATCCTGGAAAAGCTGATAAATTTTCGGCTGACTTCCCAAGCTCAGGTTGCAATCAAAATCAGCTCGAATCCAAGAACCGTTGCATTTCTCCGCGGATTTTCCCCGGGTGGGGGTGGGGGGGGGGAGTTCGGGCAGGGACGTCATTGCGAAGTCTCGGCACGAGGGGGGTCGGCCGTGTATGTGTCGTGTGTCGCATGTCGGGCAGTCCGTTAACGTTGATTGGTTCATCCATCATGAGCAGTGCGTTAATCACCGAGCTGACTCCGACCGCGGCCCCGGCCCCGCTCTCAGCTCCGGCTCCGGGATTTGTATTCCGCCCGGATCGCCCTCCTGCCCGGGGCCCCACTTCAACCCCTGCCCCGCTACAATGATGCCAGATAGTGGTGGAAAATCAGGACTTTCCCCATTAAAATTGCATTCTGCAAAAAGGAACCAGAAGCATTGCACTGATGCTAAGATTGTGCAACTTCATCATCTGCAATTAAATTACTCAAAGCATATAAAATAAGAGATTTCAACCCCTGCGTCGCTACGATGATGCCAGATAGTGGTGGAAAATCAGTATACTTTCCCCCTTAGAATTGCATTCTGCAAAAAGGAACCAGAAGCATTGCACTGATGCTAAGATTGAGCAAATTCATCCTCTGCAATTAAATTACTTAAAGCATGAAAAATAAGAGATTTACATACTAATTTTTGTATTAAATTAACAGTTTTTAGCGAGTGAAATAGAAACTGTTAATGGACAATCAGGTTTTCCTTCCAAGACAAAAGAAGTTGCACAATCTTAGCAACATTGCAATGCTCCTGGTTCCTTTTTGCAAAATGCAATCCAATCAGTAGTTTCCCCATTATAATTGCATTCTGCAAAAAGGAAGCAGAAGCATTGCACTGGTGCTAAGATCGTGCAACTTCATCCTCTGCAAACAAATTACTTAAAGCATGAAAAATAAGAGATTTACATACTAATTTTTGTATTAAATTAACAGTTTTTAGCGAGTGAAATAGAAACTGTCAATGGATAATCAGGTTTTTCTTCGCAGACAAAAGGAGTTCCACAATCCTAGCAACATATTGCAATGTTCTTGGTTCCTTTTTGCAAATTGCAATCCATTCAATCCCCGTGTTGAGTCCCTTTATAGGGAGAGTTGAGACAATGCGGCTCATGGATGTCACAAACGGGAACAAAGATTACACAAATCAAAAGTTGCTCGTAATCTTTGATCGACCCATTCCCGAATTCCTGTCTTCGTTCCCTCCCTCATTCCGTTTGTTCCTTGCTGTACCCCTAATCCCCGCTCAATCCCAGTTTATGATCTTTGCAATTGGTAAAAATGTTATCGCCCGTTTGTGACACTGTGGAGGCCAAAAATACGAGAACCAATCAGAAATGGATTCGTATTGTCTTCACTCTCGGTGTTAAGGGACTCCAAAGGGATGGAGGGTGGAGCGTGAGCTGCGGGGTGGAGGGGGTAACCGACGTTATGCGTTACGCGTTTCTCTTTTGATTCTATGTACTTCCCATGGTTTTTTTGTTATCATTTTTCTGGATAATAGATATTTCCTAATTGGGTGGTGTGTGTTTTGTTTCAGCTTGAGCAGCGAGCATGCGGATTCGCCGGGCGGGAACTCGATGCTGCGGGGCGGCGGCGGCGGGGGAGGGGGCGGTGGCGGGGATCAGGAAAAGCGGATCCGACGCGAAATCGCCAACTCGAACGAGCGGCGGCGAATGCAGAGCATCAACGCCGGCTTCCAGTCCCTGCGCACCCTTCTGCCTCACCATGAAGGCGAGAAGCTAAGCAAAGTAAGTCACCAAACACTCGTACCTCTACCTCTTCGTTTTTCACACTTTGATCATTCAGAATCACCCCTGTAACACTTAAAACAACTAAAATCACAAGAAAAACGAGTGACCAAGGCTCAAAACAAATAAACGTAGAGCCTGGGACGTGTCGGGAAGGGTTTCAACTCCCTCCTCAACTGGGAAACAGAAATGTTTAATAAAGTATGAAATTCAAATTACCTAGCCCAGTGCGAAGCGTGAATGATCGATTATCGATATTTCCCCACCTGAATACATGTAGAAGAATCGATTATTGAGGTGTTCGCTGCGAACACCCTGTTTATGGATTCTTTTCTTTGCGTTTAAATGGCAGATCAATCGATGAATCGCAAAGCACGCCACGCCACTGACCTGGGGTCTAGGTATTTTGATTTTCATAAACTTGTATGTGTTTTTGTTTCCTAGTCGAGGAGTTGGTTGAAACTACCCCGAAACGTCCCAGGCTCTGTTTTTTGTTTTTTACCCTTGTCACCCGTTTTTATGTGTTTTTTTAATTAAATTATGTGGGCTATTTTCGTGTATTGTTCTTATCAGTTGAAATATTTGGGATAGAAATATGAAATTCTTGAGAGTGGCCTCAAGTCGAAGGAGACGACTTTTGAAGCCCTAAATATTGAGAGAATCGACCCGAAAAGGGGCAAAAAACTTGAGGGGTGCGGGACTGTTGGAACACAAGTTTTTGCGAAGAGGTGGGATTGCTCTTTAGGGGCAAAATTTAAAAAGAAGAAGAAAAAAATTCTCGAAAATGCCCATGAATTGAATAAGAGTGTTCCCAAAACAACCATCAACCTTCAACACCTACGCCTCTCGGCTGCTGGGATATTTCTTCACGCACTGTATTTTATGCCACTTGTGTCGTGCTCTGAGCTGTGATTAATTTTTGAAAAAATGGCAAAAGCAGCGACTGCACCAAAAATTAATTTCTTGTAAATATTAAATGTATTTTCACCTATGTTCCTCTGCTATGTCGAACATGGTTTCGTATTGCTAGAAATTTTGAGCCTTACGAGACCCGCAGAGACCAGTAGTCTATTGCATGCCTCTCACTAATCGGGATTTTCAAATTTTCAAATTCAGTGAAAATTATTAGTGCTGACTAAAGTCTGTTAACACGAGTTTGGTGTGATTTTTATGAACTTGTGATGTGCTTCAAATTTATTAGCGGGCACGTTGCATCGTTAATACTAACTTGCATGCATGCTTGCGTTATCCTTGCCAATTTTTGAACTTGTAAAGTATGTTTACCTAAATCTTTTCTCTTGTTTGTTAACTTTTGTCGAATAATGTCTACTCTACATGTGAAAGATCATTCAGTAAAAAGAATACTTTGGGGATGCAATTTTAGTCGTGCTTTAATAATCTTTAATCAGTGTAAGTACTCACGCAGTTTAAATTAGTAGCTCTCGATAATTCGAGTTCATAGGTTGGCTGCCCTTCTGGGCCCCAAGAGCTACATGACCCGATCAAACCTAACCGCGAAATTTTCGAGTCGTCCATACTCTCCCTATGAAGGTACTCTAGTTTCAAGAAGGTGTGCATCTCTCTGATCAGCATACGGTACCATACTTGGTTTTTGAAAACTCCCTGTGCTCTTAGATCCCTTCTGCTCAGTCATTGGCGTCCATCGTCCGAGCCTAATAAAGAAAATTCTCACGCCCCGACTTAAATGGAGCGGCGTCCCGCCCCGTCGGCCTGTCGCCTGATTTATATTTCATAGCCGTGCCACCACAACAGACACTCGCCGAACCGAAACCGACAAGTTTAGTGCCCGGCTTTCGCGCAACTTTTCTCCGAGCTTTCACCCGAGGGGGGCTGCACCGGGGGGAGGGGGGGCTGCTGTGCCACTGGGCGGAGGAAGCGCGTGGGAGTCGGGGGGTCGGCGGCGGCGGTTGATCTGAGATTCTGAGATGTGGTCTTGTCGGTGCACTACGGACACCTACGTTACTGTGTCCTACACACCACTCTCCTCGCTTTGTTACTTGCGCATGCACTTAGCGCCTCCATAGCCGCCACATCTCGGAGGTGAACCCGGGCTTTTTCTTGTGATGCAGCCGATGTAAAAATAACCGTGCTGCAGCCGGTGCCGCACTATGGGTCGAGTCAATGGGAGAGGTCGGACATGCTTTTAAAACTTTTTTTTGCATAAGATTAGATGAAAAATCAGGGAAATTTTCAGTTAGGAATTCCTGAGATGCTACAGTTGTAATCGCAACTTGCGAGAGGAAATTTGGTAACGTCGAAATGTAGTTTCGTTCTTTCTTGGAGGAAACGGCGATATGAGCCAAAATAAGATTTGTATTTTGTTTCTTTTTTCTTAATAAACTTGGTCCAACTGCATTAAAACTTCCATTTGCTGATCTCGATTCAGGCCAGGCGAAAACCAACTGAGGCATCGGTATTGGTCCGGGCTGAATCGGGATCTACACATAGAAATTAAGTTGAAAAAATGGAATATGAGTTTATTTCTACAAGTGGACGTTCTTTTTTCAACACGATTTAATCAACACAGACCCATCAGTAGACTTACAGCGGAATATCTGCGAAATGTCAACAGTCATAGTATTATTAGCGACCCCTGGCCGCTCGGCCGGCCGCGGTAAAGTTGAGCGCTCCCGCAGGTTGTCGGTCGGTCGCGGTTGGCAGGCAATTTTTGGCGTCGCGGCGCCGGTGCATTTCGGCGGCGGCGGTGAGCGGGCGTCGCGACGCGGCGATGAAAGTGGAACGATCAGCGTTTCAGTCGGAGGTTAATGTGCTCCGCATTCGTTGTTCGCCCTCCATTCGCATTTCTCCCGGCCCCAGACAACGGTTTGCCGGCACCGCTCGCACCATCACGTCGCACTTTTCACGTATTCCAATAGCCACGTGAGCCCTGTCTTACGTGTAAACCCATGCATTTTGAGGCTCACGCCGAAATCGAGGTACGCGCTTAAGTCAGAGCAGGGTCGTTTTCTGTCCCGGCTACCGTTGTCGCATTCTCACCGATGTTTTACGATGAGAGCGGGTCTGGAAACCTTGGAAGAATGGACCAATCGAGAATCTGGACTTTTTCCGAAAAGAGCCACAGTTTTGCGCATGATCCGAGACCTCCTATCATGATTGTAGTAATCATTGGAGGTACGTGGATTTGAAATGCACCCCCAAAACTCGGTTGCTTCCATTTCGATACAACAGCAACTTGTTGGAGACTTCTGTCCTCCGCAAATTCCATTCTTTTCGACAGTTAGATGAGGTATGTACAATCCCTCCGGACCCGGAAGCCTCCTTAATCTAGCATCGACACCCCCCCCCCCCCCCCNACTTATGCATTCCCGAGATGTAAATGAGATAATGGGAAAGACCGAGAATTTTATAAACATCGCTCGAAATCCTGCTAATCCGTGTAAGTGGAAAGATGGGGTGTGTTCATGCTGAGCTGGATAAGAAACAATGTAGAAGTGGATTTAGTTCCTTTTGAGAAAATGAAAAAACGGGATTTTACATTACACCAAAAGTAATTAAAAGCTAACTCGTGAGCCGTGGACATGTGACAAGGACAAGAGCTTTGTGGACAGGGCTCATGACTTAAAGCCGAGCGAGAACGATAACGGATACGGTTCCTTTGCCGCTGATGTCAATGGCGCATTAAAATCCCCATTCATTCTTATGGCCCTCAACTAATGAGTACACCCCATCTTTCCACTCGCACACACTGGAAAATAAAACACATTGGATCTAGAGTCCAGACTCTTAAAAACATCGACCAGATAAAGTACTCTTGATTCAATCAGAATCTAGCTTAAATAAAAAACCAAACCTCTTAATTTAAGCGGATTTCGTTTAGATTCAAGCAAAAATCCGATTGAATCAAGAGTATTTTTTCTTGCCAATGTTTTCAAGAGTCTGGACTCTAGATCCAATATGTTGTTTTTTTTCAGTGCATAGTTCCATTTAGCACAAATACGTCCATTTGAAGCTACGGTAAAGCATTGGATTATTATGGTGTCCGTTGGGAAAATCCTGTCCATCGATCCATTTCCACGGATTGAAATGGCAGATCAATCGATCTATCGCAAAGCACGCCTCTCCACTGGATACGGAAGAATAGAAAGGCGAAGGGGCCGAATTCCGGGAAATAACGATTGATAAAAAGAGTTGCGAAAGCGGGAACATGTGGCGGGAAGCCTGGGCGTCGGTGGGCGGCGGCGGCGGAGGCAGGATCGGCGAACGCGAAACTCCTCTCCCGTCCGGGTGCATCTGGGGCCACGCTGCGCTGCGCTGCGGCTGCGACGCGACGCGACGCTGGATTTCCGCCCGGGCCGACGTCGACGGCGGCGGCGGCGACCGCGCCCACTACTACTCCGCGTCGCGACGCCCCCCCACGCGCGGCCGCGGCTAGTACGCAGCCTCGCCAGCTTCGACCCTGCCGCGCCCGCCCACCCGCGCCACCGCTCAGCTGATGCCATCGCGGCCGGCGCGGCGTGGCCGGGGCCGGATGCTACGCGCGCTTCCGCCCTCCCCTCCCCCACCCCGGGGTCGTGTCCTGTTCCATTGCTCGTTCGGTACTTCCGAGCTGCGGGGCCTCGTGTGGTCGGGAAATCCCGGAAAAGCGATTAACTTCGACGGGAATCCGTGAAAATATAGGGAAATTCTGTTAACGCCAAGATATCGGCCGCTAATATTGCTAGGCTAGGGGTCGTTCATTTAGTAGGTAACGGCTCAGGGCGCGGAGGGGAGGTCCGAGGTAGTGTAAAAGTTAGTTTCGGAAGTTTACGTTCAAGATTGCCCAATGATGACATGAGGATTCTGTCGTTACTATAAAGCTCTTTTTTCCATGCAAACTAGGGTTAGGGCTCTTTAACCGACACTAATTTATTCATTTCTCGGCCAAACCCTCACGGAGTTCCCTGAACATCTCCATATCTGATCTATGACGGGTCTCGATTAAGTACATCAGTTATATTTACAGATCGTCTTAGATGCAACCCAGTCAATAATTGAAAGGAAAGGGTTGCAGGAGGGTATTGAAAGGTGCAGAAAGGATGATTCTTGGTTGCGGAGTCGCAGGATATCTTTTAACGTTTCATCCGTAAAAATTAAGGCAAATGCACTGAATACGTTAAAACTTTTACCGAATACGCTTTACGATTTTACAATGCTGAAAACTAGAAATTTCAGAAAACTGACC